AATCAGTGCTGTTCGGAGACGATGCTGTGGCGGAGGAAAGCTAAGGATGGGTGTGTCTAGCGCACGGGACCATCGGATTTGATGGTGACGATTTTAGTTAAGAGAGTGAGGGAAATAGGCTTCGTTGTTAATTGGTAAAACGAAGGGTCTTAACAGCCCTCGAGAGAAAGTGGTTAGTGGGAGGAAAGCTGCATCATACGTGAGAAAAACTAATTTTCCCTTGTCAAGCTGTAGTAGACGATAGTCTTTAGAAATGCTTCGGAAACAAACGTTTGTTTGGTTTGAAGGACCTCTACTAGGAAATTCCTGAGATTTATGGAAGATACTTGAGATTATTGAGGGTACGCAATGAGTATCCGAAGACATCTGGTTGCCATCTTGCACGCGGTGTGTGGTCTGGGCTAGGTAGAGTGTTACGCGAAGTAACAAACGATTTTCCGCGATTGCTCTCGCACTTCCTCGTTTGAGAAACGGGAACGTGAACGACGCGTGGTTCCGTCGTGGATCGAAAAAATAAAACGATTACTGTGAAACGAAGCGCCGATAACCCATGTCAGATCATCGTTTCATCAGAGTCTTCGCGTATTGAACTGCGATAAACGGATCGTTCGATTCTCATGCAATCGCGTCCATTTCTTTTTTCATGCAGTATCAATAATCGAATTGTGCATTGGTGCATGACACGACAGTGGGGACAAGGCAAAACAAGAATTTGGTGATCTGATGTCACGATCTTGTCAATAACTCGTCGATGATCTTGTATTGACACGAATGTACCCAATTGCTTGTTGAGAAATGATTCTGATCGATCGGCTTTCGATAAAATGTGATATAGAAATTTTCGAAATTGATAAAGTTAAGTACAATATCAAAGAGTATATCATTTGAAAGACAACAATCGATAGTTGACTGTAAGATAGAAACGAGTTCGTTTCACCTTTACAATAATAAATCATTTCATTTGATGATGTACACAGATTATTTTAAATGATATAAATTTTAAACACACGACTGTTTTAATGTTGGTACGTATAATGTCTTAATTAACTGCGGATAAATACGATGACCATAACACGATCGATAATAGCGGTAGCATAAAATCAATGTAATTGGGTCAATCGATGTTCGAGCGGAGAAGTTCGATCATCGACAAATTACCCCGGATAAGGACGCATTCATATCTTTTAATTAAGAATTGTTGCGATACCGTTCGAATTAAATGTGATATCATGTTGAAGCTCTCCATTACCTAATTTCCATATCCCTTTCGATTTCAACGAGAAGAACATTAAATATCTTTAATGAAAATATTTTCTAGATCGTAACAGTGTATGAATAAAAAGAAAGATTTTGATATGACATAGTTGAAAACTAAAAAATCTACTAGATTCAAAAGTAGCTGATAAATTGAGGGAATTTTATGAAAGCCAAATATGTAATTATTAATACTTTGATGTTTGTAATATTTCAATATTACGACGAGTAATATTTTCAAAATCTTGACAAGTAGGAAAAAACACAGGTTTAAGTCCAAGATTAAATAAAAAGGCAATGTTCGTGGCATTGAAATTGTTGACAACATACTGAGTTGTAAGAATACTTCACTCACAACAAAAAAAGATAATTATTTGTTTAGTCCTTTATTTCGATGTGTAAGGTTCTTATATTCTATTCCATGTATGAGTTCATAGTTCTAATAGAAACTAATTATTTAAATGCGGATATAGTACGGATTTAATCATTCTCCTGTTGTTACTTCCTCGCTTTTTGCTGATCGTGACTATGCCTCCAAGTGGACTTTGCAATCCACGGCTTTACATTCTCTTATTTCGTTGAATCATTAAATCATAAGACGTCGCGGAACTCAAACGAGTTCGCAATCACATAACAGTTCAATAAACCGAATTCCTTTGAACTACAACAATATATTGTTTTTACTTTCCGAGAATCACGTGAAATATGAAAATTTATTTCCATAGTCACTTAGAATAGAAACGCGACTCGCGCAGCCTCGTGTATTTAAAGAGAAAAAGCAGACAAAACATTCTAAAGATTACTTAATAGTCCAGAAATTTTGTTAATTGAGTTATTCATTTGAAAGTAAAATATAAAAGTATTTTAGATACACATTTTTGCAAATGTCACTTCAGACTATCCTTGCAAATTTCTATTTGATTTGCATATCGACATGCTTTCGTCAATAATTCGAACATTATTCCTCATTGCGCACATGTGTTCGCACAGATTCTGTATCTTACAATTTCATGACACTAAATTTGTAAAAATTAAATCACACGATTCTATCAACCGATGTTAAATCACGTGAATAGACATCTTTATTCGCAATTCTTTTCGCTTCGCTCCTTTGCGTGAAAAATATTCCATTTTAGCAACGGTTATACTATACTATACTACTATTGTAACTCCAGATTTCGTTAGAGCTATCGTTAAAAAATGATATTCATTCTATAAATTCTGGATTTAATCGATACCTGAATCTAATATCGAGAAGAATATCAGTTCATATCATTGTACGAAACAATATAACTGATAAATCTAAAGAAATTGAAACGAGGAATACCAAATTTTAATGTTATGTACATATACCTCTCGTATTTTTCCATGCCATCTGTTGCAGATATTATCTCAACAGTAAAGTTCGAAATTATCGACAGTTTCATAGCCAATACGGAACTTTCGAAAAAGAGTAAGGTCACTGTTGAACGTGGCTGAATCATTCATTGGTCGTTCAGTCTGTAATCGGCATCAGTACCTCTCGAAATATTGTTCACTTCATTTGGATAAAACAATATAATAATTGCTTATCGTGCTTCTGCTCGTGCTCGTAAATTCGCGTTTTCGTTACGGTTCGATAAGGACGAATGTTTCGTGCAAACGTATAAACGTTATTTATAGTGAACATTGAATTTACTCTCTGGAACAACGAAGCGAGCGAAAGACGGGGAAAGTATTGCGTGAAACTGTGGCTGTTTTCCAATCTGGTCAGCTATTTCTCCAGAATACCATCGGATAATTCTTGATTGTTCGCGTTTCACTGTGTACATACACTGAAAGTGTTTTTAACAATTTCAAGGACTTCTTGCTATTCAGAGTTTGCTGATCAACCATGCATATTAGGTGTTTGAAGTTCGGCGATCAACTATTCTAAATTAGGATTCTGTACTACTCCAAGGTGATCGAGTATTTTCGATTAATTCGAAGGTGAAATATGTACCACATACTATGTTTGCTACTTTGAAACTTCCTGTTTTGTGGAAAAATATCGAATTACGCGAAGTCTTTATAGAATGTTGGTTGCGAGGATATTAGCTTTAACCTGGTAGCAGAGATTTCTAGTTCTCGTTGATCGTGTTTCTTTCCTGCAACATATGGTAAAACGTGCAATTTGCGTTTCACCAACGAGATATAAATCCCAGGCCGCGGATGCTAATTCTTCGTGGCCGAAAGCATCCATGAGCGTGTGTTTCTAGAGGAAAGAAACGGTGATCGACTGGATCGTAAACGTGTTTTACAAGGCTTGGCCATTCTAACGTGGCTTCGATATTATCGGGGGAGCGTACTCGAGGGCGCGGTTCTCTCCGCCTCTAAAAACAGAAGCCGTTTTCGAAAGCTGGCCGTTTGTCTTTCGCCGCGAACCTTCCAACGAATCGCCATCATAAAACGTACACCCTTCAGGAGAAAAAGAATTTATTCGTACATAATTGCACCATCTCGGACGAAGCGTGTTATTACTGTACTGCGATATACACGTAGAAACATTGGAAATTTTTCAGAGCATTCTTTTTTGTTGGAAATGAATATACGTTGCGTTTCTCTTTCCCTTTTTCTGCAAAAACAACGGAAAGAGACCGGCAATTTATACATTTTTTTCTTTTTACGAAAAATCTTTATATATAAAATCGAAACGAGATATCATACGTACGTTATAACTGTGATGGTTCGTTAAAAAATAGAAAAATACAAAACAATTGAAGAAAAAATGATTCAAGGAACGTAATAGGATTAGAAAGGAATAAAAAATGTATGCAAATTTGCAAATGTATGCAGTACGAAATAGAACGAAAACGAACTATAGATAGAGCTGTAATTAAGTGATTTGTTGCTCTGCTACCAATATATAAAAGTTTGATTGGTTTCGATCAGAAAGTTTGTTCTAATAATTCTCAGTGAGTTGTATATCGTGTACAGCAAAAAAGTTGATCTTTTAGTTTTTACTTGATTCCCTTCCTCGAATAGAAGAGTCGATGATTGAGAAAGTTTCTGAAATATTTTGTTGTACGGAGTTTGACAAATAGGAAACTCTAAACTGTCAACGAAGTTCTGAGACCCTCGTGACATCCTCGTGTTTCAAGTTTCATTATTAATCACTTGTTTATTAATCACTTTTCTGTGCCCGTGTCAACATCTCTGCGATAATTCCGTATCATTTTTATCTTTATGTTTGCTTAAACTGTGTGTCGCGTACCCTTAAAAGATTTATATCTACGCCGTTTGTATAAGATATTTGCACATTTATTTTCGCTGGTCAAATGTTACGTACTGCGAAGGTTATTTGATAACATATTGAAAACAAAAATGATGTTACATTCAGAAAGATTTTAGCCCGTTGAATACATAGATAAGAAAATATGTAGAATTTTAGCAACTTCTTAGTACCGGTATCTCTAACTTGATAAAGCGACAACAAATATTTTAATGTATATTCACGATTTCTCCATAAATTCTCTTTTCCAAAAAATGAAAAACGCGACTCTTCGCTTTCTTTCCCATCAATTTTCAATTTGTTTATAAACCATCTCCAAAATTCTCACATATGGTCTATGTACGTTGCACATGTGAGTATGTGAAATAATAGTAAAAAGTTACGAGAAGCCATACCATGTAAGATCATCAAACTTAGGTTCACTTCAGGTAGTCGACCATCGATTAGACCATTTCGGGTTCAACGAAATCATTTCTTTTATTTCGTGTTTTTACAGCCACGTCGGCGGTGATCCTGAAGACAGAGCACGACCATAATCGGTTATCCAGTCTTTCGGGGGATAATATCCTTGGCACTGGAGTTAGGATTGGTCGGGGCGAAGACGCAGTCGCAGGTATCAACGGCAACATTATGGATTCGGCGCAATCAGCCATGATGAAGCAAACAGACTACGTCGTAGGTCAGTAAAAGAAGCTCTAACATTTTCTTTTCAATACGTTAAACATACTCGTTAATTAAATTCTATCATCTCGTCAAATTGTTTCGATGATTCGTAAAATTACTCGAATTCGTTGAAATTTTCTTTCGTGTTTCGAAATTTTGCCGAGAAGAGTGATCGTTACAGGGCAACAATTAACAGCGTAAGCTGTTTGAAGAGGAAATATCAACCGTGTATTTATTCGGTGTTTTATAACGAACGATAATTTTTCTTACTGTTATCGTTACGAACGAATTGTGACACTGTGATTGAATATGTTGTAAGAATAAAGACAGAAACGAAGAATAGTGAAACAGAGATCACGTTTCGTCGGTGATCCCGTCGTTTTTCCGATAACATGTCACGTGCAACCGGCAATTCTTCACCACCGATATTGAAACGTTCGAAAATCATTCTTAACAGCGTAATTGCTATATAATCCGTGAACTGTGTCCAAAATTGTTATTTATATGCGTATATAACGATATGCGTAATCTCGATGAAACACGCAAATGTTTAAAACTGTTGTTATTCTCTTCGTATTTTATTTTCCTTCTTTTATCGTAGATGACACGATCGTTTTATATTTACAAATATCTGAACCAATTATAACGTATAACTCCATTTTGTATAAAGAACACTTATAATTATTTTTCCGAGCAATCGCCTGGATTCTTTTGATGTTCATCATCAAGCAACGTAGTTTGCTCGATTCTCAGAATTACGGAATAATTGACGGGAATATTACAGCCCATTGATCTTGTTCCTCTTTGTTGAAATTAACGTTCAGAGCATCGTGACAACGGACAAGCCTATTAGTACGATTGTGAAAATTTCGCAGTTCGTTATCACCGTTCACATTCGCCGCGTTTGCGTCTCTCGTTTCCTCTGGTAAATTTCATTTTGTTAAAATCGTCCGATATCGGCCACGAAACAAACTGTTTCCAGATCACAGTGCGTCTTATCGAAATTGAAAATATATGAAGATTTTGAAAGGGTGAATTGTATTTGATTGGAACTTGTAAATTTTGTATTTGACAATTAGATTAAAAAATGAAATTTGAATTGGAATTAAAATGTAGAAAATTGTTTATATTTAATTATACAAGAGTCTTGAAGAAATTGTGACTATGATAAATTCTAAAGATTATCAGGCTTTTACAGCAGATTATAAAAAAGAACTGGTTTCTCTCTTTCTGTCTGTCTCTCTCTCTCTCTCTCTCTGTTTTGTAAGTCGTAGTAAACTTCGTTTGTTGATTAATGATTATCGATTTCACATTAAGTGCCGACCTACAATGTTTTGATTGCAAAATAGAGAACAAAACAATGTTATTGTATTATTGTCCATTTAAATACTATCGGTAATCGAAATCAATAGAACCGAATTAAATGATCAGTGTCATTCAAAGTCATTACGTATATTTATTCCGATCTTACTTTCCAACACATTCTTTTCATATCTTTTTTATATATTCTATTAATCATAAGCAATCCATAAGTAAGAGGTAATTTGTATTATCCGGATATTTCTTTATTGTTTTTGCATCTCCATTGGAATATATTGGCTTTTTGGAATGCATTAAATTCTGAATATAGTACTTTCGTTATTGATCCTTTAAAAAGAAATAAGTTAACTAGCATCATGCTTGTCACAATTAAAAGTCATCCTTTTCTATTGTTACAAATGAAAAAAACAGTTATTCAGAAAGATATATCTTCAGAATTGTCAATAAAAAAGAAACTGATTTTCTAAAGATTTTCATATTTGTATTTTCATATTTACATCAACATGTAAATGAAGATGACTCTTACAAAAAACGCAGTTTTTTCGTCAATTACCATTATAACTCGATCGATTAAATAACAATCAGAACGCAAAAACGTTGACACTCGAATAACAAACTTCGACCGATTAGACAATCCGCATAAGTACGAAGTTCACTGTGCCACACGCTTCTCAAGTGGGAGAGAAGAGTGAGTCGCGGAATGACGAATTGTAGAAGCGGAAGACGAAAATCCGCACGATGTACCTATTAATCTATGTTTTTTTTAACCTTTGCAGATATTGTCTTGCCAACTGTTCTAATTGCTCTGCTATTCGTTGGCAACGCCATCATCGTCTACATTATCTTTCAGTATAGAAAGAGGTGAGTAAAGGTCGTGCAGCCGTGCCATTTGTTCGCTCCAAAGTTCCTTTCCCTTTGATTTTAATTGTTTCTACATACAACGCAACCTGTTTGATTATACATGGCGAATTCATGATTTGAAAATATCGCAATGGCATGTTAAATGATCGTTGCTTGCTATCATTCTGGTCAATTTTCAAGGAATCTCGAGTAATTTCACTCTCCTGAGTAAATCTCTTCATTGAGATATATATATCTGACATATTAGTATATTTTCAATATGTGACGTTAGAAATTCAGTCTACGAATTCAGTTCCAAGAACTTGTAGGGATAACGATGGTCAGTTAACAAGGCAAAATCCTGGTTAGTGTATTGTAGTATATTCATGATTATTTTGAACATTTTATTTTTTGCTGACCAATTTTTAAAAATATTCTTAAATCAATAATTAAGTAAATATAATAAAATTCACGTATGAACATTCTGGCTTATTTTGATTCGTCTTTGGTGTCCTTGAACAGTCCAATATCCAATGATTGCAGTTCACAACAAATATTCTTGCAATGTAAAAAGTGAAGCTTAAATTTCGTTTGCAGGAAAGTTTCATCAATAGAGCAGGGCGAGGAAATGTCTCTACGTAATGCAGCCGAGGTGCCACAGGTGTGATTCGTGTTAGAATCAACGATAAAATTTACGGTGCCAGCCCAAAAAGCGTCAGCGAGAAGGCCTACGTTGCATTTTTCTACGAGGATGATCTCCAAACGAAAATGGATCTCTAAAAAGAGGATCGTCGAGGAGTATCGAACATCATCTTTTTTTCTTTCTTCTCCACTTTTAGAAAGAAGAATAATCGTCGAGTCTGCAGATGGATCCTCGAAACTCGTGTTCATTCGATTTTGATAGTTATATGTTCTTTGGTTGGGACACATGACTGGAAAATGTCTTTTTTACACGCGCGAAATTCAGAGACGCTCTCGAAGAAAAGACTATAATGCGCTTGTCGCCACTCGTAATAAGAACCGCTGTCAATATTTAGGAATCCAGGCGCCTAATTAGTGCTGCCATGGTCTTCTACCTACATGTTCACGCATACAGACACACATACGTACACATAAACTTACGATAATGTATTATAATGTAAGGAAATAATATATTCTATATTTCGTCCAAATTGTGACTTAAGTTAAGAATAAACAGATGTTTTCATAATACATTTGCCTTTCCGAATACTTCATTAAATTCTATTTTCAGAAGAATAATATTTATATATACATAATTTTTATGAAATCTAATTGGAAATTTATTTAAAAAATTAAATTAGAATTAAATTAGAAATATTTTTGTAAGGGCTCGCCTAAAATCTCCTCCAAGGTGCGCACTGCATTTTGAGCACACTTCTCCGTAGTTTCGTCTTCATCTTCCAACATTTCTGCCAAGAAGGGTATAGTTTCTGGCAAGAGTGGCATGAAATCTTCGCCAAGCTTCCTTACAATTTCAACCTATATTCATGTGAAATAAAATATTAAATTACTAGCATTTTATGAACTTAATCGAATTGTACTTCTGATGCGTAATCTGATGTATAATCGTTCAGTAACGATATCATTACAATATTATTTATAACCAATTATGAATTAATATTAATCACCTAATAATAATTAATACATTTAACTTGACAAAATATAAGCTTTCACTCACCAACGCATTCAGTGCAGCGGTTCTAACATATGGTTTCGTATGTCTTGTCTTCAGCAATGTCTGGTACACTAATTGCTTATGCAAAGAGTCATCAGGAATGGCACTAGCGAAGGCAGCAATACAAGGCACCACTAATTCACTCGCTCTTTTCTCATAGCCCTCTGTGGAGCCCAAAGTATTCTCCAACTGATCCACAATTGGTTGAGCCAGTATTTCGAATCTCTCTTGACTCACGAAATTATGAGCGTCGTAACTGAAGACTCGATATAGAGTCAATAAAATGGCTTCTACTAACTCGATTTTGCTAGACTCTTCAGGCAGAGTCATCTCCTGCGGTTCCTCTATGATCGCTGGATTATTACTACTTAACAATATTGCTGCATGCTTGATGAAGTGACCAGCAAACAGAACGAAAAGTGATTTTAGACACTCTGCTATGTTGGCTGAAAGTCTGCAACAGATGATAATAATTTATATATTTTTATCCATGATTAGGTAACCATAAGTAAACTTTAACACACAAAAATGCAAAAAATTACAAAATAAAATAAAACTCAGATAAAATAATTTAATCAACCTGTAGAAAGTGATATTTCGTTCCTTGTACTGTGGATTTCTAGCAGCCCAGTCGTAAAGTTTATAATAAAGTGGTCTAAAGGTAGTCTCGCTTAGTTTCAGTACCAAAGCAACCAATGCTTTACTGGCGCTTTCCTCTACGACCACCACATCCTTCAACGTTAATTCCAATTCGTCTACTTCCATGTCATCTGGCGAGTTTGAAATATCTTCGCGAAACTGTAAAACCTTTAAGAAGAATGTGCCTAAATCCGGTATAACTGCGTTTATATCATTAGGCTGAGCACTATTGAATGATTCTACTAGGACATTCATCAGCGCTGGGATACGTTGGTACAATTTCTTTGCAAGTAACGTCATATATGTCCTGTTGACTGCTGGTAACAGCACTCGCGAAGGTATGCACGTGGAGAGTTTCTGGGTTGTTGCATTTAATCGTGATATTACGATGCCAATCTATGAAAATGATAAACAAGGAAAATCTTCAAAAATATTGATTATCGTTTAGTTGTATAATGTAGTCTCAAATATTGATAAAATCATATCAGATAGTTAAAAACTATATGTAAAAAATCTCCAAAAATATAGTAAACAATAGGGAATGAATAGAAAAGGTGAAAACACTTTGAGAAACCTACGAAATGTGGCTAAAAGATAGTGAACAGTTAGTATACGATTGTTTATAAAATACATTTATCGCGGCAACAGAAGTATTTAATAAAGTAGTAAATCATACCTTTTGATGTTCCGTATCAGTGTACAGAGAGTTTAATCTCGCCAGTTCAAACAGTAACTGATCCAAATACAAAGATAAGAAGTTGCCTACAGATTCGACGATCTTTTGCAACGCGCTTACGATACTGACGACTATTACATCCGGCACACCTTGATGGCAGTGATCTTCTAACAAATGTAGGATGGCCGGTACAAATTTGTTCAATGAATGTATCGCGTGAATACGCATAGAACTGCATAATTCCGCGACACAAAGAGCAGCGCTGGCTAGTACTGGTCCTTCCCTTGAACCTAACAGCTCAGTGGTCGTCTCAAGAATCTATAACAAAAATAGTAATAATAATAATAAAAATTTGTATCTATTAATTTATTTAATTGTCTATCAGTAATGGATTTTTTTCGCAAAAATATATAAGATATTCAAAATACGGTCTTAATTATAATATTGTAGTTGCCGAATACAACAACTCTCCATTTAAGATTTATTTTTTCAGTTATGTTTACAAAAATATGAAATTGCATAAACATCCGCAATCTATTAATGACCAACTGGCCAACCAATAATTTTCTATTTCTGTTAAATAATATATCGACTTACCGGTTTGAACAGTATGGGATGATCGCTAGCCAACAATTTCGCCAACAATTTTATAGTAATCAAGACAGTTTGCTGTACAATCTCCTGTTCCTGCGTTTCAGACTTTACTTCCACTGATACTGTCTTCGATAAACATTCAATCAACTGTAACAAATCTTCGTGATCCTCTTCATTAAACTTTCTTTGTTGAAGACGCGTGTTAAGAAGCTCCAAGGCTTTTCTCTTCACTGTCAGTAAATTATGTTCTATCAGACGCTTGATACTGACCAAGAATATTCCATTTGGCAATAAATTATTCACCAAATCTAACACGTCATATAAATGATGCAAAAGAACCTTCCAATATTTCGCAATTGGCTTTCCTTGATGTTTATCAGCATTCTTCGAGGTACATTGGATTAGTATGATTAATTCAACAATCAGTTGATCATAATATGGTCTCACATTATTCACTTCGGTAGAATCGAACTCTGCGACTTTATTAATAAGATGAGATGACGATAACAGATTACTTAAAAACTGGACCAGAGTATATTTATAATGTCTTAAGTGTTTAGGACTACTAGTACTAACATCAAAGATGTGTTTATATTTAAACGAAATCGCAGCTCTCCTGCCTTCTTCGTCTTCTACGTCTACAGGCAATTCCTTCAGAAACTGAGCCAATTTCACGCAAACCTGAATAAGTCTCGTGGGTGGAAATTCTTGAGATACCTGTAGAGCAAATTCTAATCTCTGTCCAGGTGTCTTTTGATTCGTAATACGCATAGTACTCGACATAACGTGGCTTTCGAAACTCAACAAGTAATACAAATGAAAATGATTATCCAATAATTGTAATAACTTCACAAATAATGGAGTTCGTCTATGTTCTGGAATATCGGGTAACGAAACGATAAATGTTCTTAGAACCTCACAAGCGTGAGTTTCATTCTCAGCCGCGTTTATTATAGGAACCACGGTCTCGATGGTCTTGGATATTATTTGAATAGAATAAGCATCGTCCTGACGGACCACAGAACTTCCCATGAAAGTGAAAATAGGCATTATAGTATATAGAGCACATCTCACATCGACGATTTTTAATAACTCTACTAGAACTAATAGAGCATGATGATGAGTTTGGGGATTTCTTGAAGTTCTAATACATTGCGTGATTAAGTCTATTTGTAAATGAGCATCACGAATAGGCAATTTCTTCACTGTCAATCGATGAATAGTGGATAGTAATAATTGGTTCGTATATTCTATAGGACTTTGTTCCTCGAAACTGAGGCATGTCTTCAGCAAATTAAACAGGATCGGGTAGAGTAATTCCTCATGTTCGATATTGTCAGCTTGTTGAACGAACTCTAAGAGAGTCACGCCACGTTTCCATTCTCTTCTGTTGATTATGGTTGGGTCAGGAGCACGAATGAGACTGATCCGTCTTCTATTTTTCATTTTACTGTCGTTTAATTCAGCATTCTTGAGATCCTTCATGATCTGTAGCTCGTCAACTACAAGCTGTGCATTCACTCGAATTTTTCTCATTGCTCTATTGGTTGAAGAAATAATGTTTCCTATTTCACAATCAGTGGCTACATCTACTAATTTAGCTAGAATTTTCTTCTGAAGAACATTGGACGCTTCTTCAGCTTTTTGGAAGAAGGTACTTCCTATTTGTTTTAGAAGAATCACACTTGGTGGATGTTGATTTCCGGATTCTGTTATTACTTTGATCTTGTGCTCCTCTATGCTAGCTTCGAATAACTTCCAAACTTGTTCAACAGTGAGTGCCTTTACTGTTGCGCTGTTGAATCTCTGAAGTATGTTTTTCAACAAATTTCCTGCAGATTTATTTTTAGGATCAGCCTGAAGCATTTCTAAAAGGTATAATCCAAGAGGAACTAATCGTTGAAGTATTGTGGGCCCATTCACGTAAACTAGAATATCAAGCAGCTGTGATTTAATATGTAAAGGAGTTTGCTGATCCATGACTATCTCAAATAACATTTGTTGCGCATGTTGTAGCCTTTTTCGAAGATCTGTCTTCAATTGTTTACATACATCTGGATCAGGTGATAATAGAATGTAAAGAGATAAAGATAATTGATCAGGATCTAAAGATATTTCTGGGCTTCTGATGACAAGTTCTTGCAGTAAGGATGGAAAGGGATTCACCATTGTGCAACGATTAAGCACTTGAGCACTTGAGCACTTGCTTATGAGCTTCTCGAGCACTTTTAATGACGCTATTCGACATTCATTGTTCTCTCTGGCTAACGAAAGTAACAAATTTGTAACAAAGACTTTATCCTCAAACGCCCATTCAGTAGATTTGCATTGATTCAGCAGGACTTGAGTTATCTTCAAGCAATGAAAGGACGTTTGCACCTTCACAGGCTTTATGTACAGTTGAGAGAGAAAGCGGATAAGATCCTGAATCGTGGAGAAATGCCTTTGAAAAAATATTTGTAGACAACGAGAATAATGCTTGCACCAATATACATTATCTATTCCCTCGAAGAACATCTCAAGAAGTCTCAAAATCAAATTACTACGATGTTGATTGTTCTCAAAGTCAATCGCCGGATTTGACTTCAAATCGAGACGTCTGTGAACCATTTCCAGAACGTAGGTACCAACTTGCAATGGGAGAACACCTTGAGAAGTTAATTCTATGGCCATTTGTATATTATCCCCTGTAATATTATTGCAATTTTGTAATAACTTTACTTGCGGATATTTTTTAATCATCTCCGTAGCCATTTCGATTACCTCTCGAGCTATTTGCGGTTCCAGAGATCCAACAGGGACTCTACATACGGATCCGAGTAAAATTAGGTTGAAAAACATGGAAGCTGCATCACCATGAGCGATCTGTTGCTTCATTGCGCTTAATATGCTATCTGTTGGCGGCAGCAATTCCCAGTTTAATATATTATGAAAAGATGCCGATGAAACAGCCTCTGCGTTCGGTAATTTTCCTAGATCCTTCTGCACGTGTTGCATATAAATATTGTTCCTAGCAAAGTTTGATTCTAATACTTCCATCGCAATATCCACGTCTGCGTCGTCATTTGGGAATAAATAAGGTAATGATGTAATGAATACGCTAGTATCATCTCCGACTTTACAGAGTTCTAATAGGATTTTCAATGCTGGTTTTGCTAGTATTTTCCTACGGCTGGTGTGACAAGTCGATAGTAATATTTTCAACTCATCAATCAATATATCTGCAGATAGAAGACTTGTTAGGCGTTTCGTAGAAATAGAGAGCAAAGCTTTGATTACGTCTACTTCTGTGTCACTAAATCTGGATTGTATCGTAGTTGTCATCATCTCCTGGAAACTTTCAGGAATATTCACATCAGAATCTGCCAACATTTCCAACGCTACAATTCTCTGTACAGGATTGATATGAATCAATTTGTCAAGTATACCAACAGCTTCTTGCGTGTCCTTGGCTCCAAAATGCCAAGATGTGACGAATTCCAATGCGAGTTTGGAATCTTTGTCTGTTTCGCTGCGTTTCATCAATCCTTTCAAGTAATCATCGAATCTTTCAGGATACGTTCTTTCAAGAGTGTGATACAATCTTATTAGAAATTCTCTAGCTTCATTTTTCATGTCAGTTGAAAGAAACTCCTTCTGTAATACATTCCACAAAATGGTGTCCACTCCAATATCATCGAGCTTTATTCGTGACAATATTTCATTCACCATATTCTGTATTCGAACTGTTTCTGATGGACTGTCCAAAATCATGCGACAACTTGTTTGTAGTAATGATACAATGAATTTTAATATATTCACATTAGAAGATTGAAGCTTGATTGCGAGCTCGATGAACCAGGACAATTCTGATAGTCGAGTAGCAAGACTTTTTGGAACTGTAGTAAGTTGATGAATTGGTATATTGTACAAGAAGAATAACAGGTGCAATGCTTCCTCTTTTAGATGCGTTTTCTTGAATATCTTCAGAAGTAATTTTTCCATAGTTATATCATTCAATTTCTCTTTGAACGCCAGTTTTGCTAAGATCATGTAACTACTGGCTACAAAATCGGAGATGGAACTTTCTAAACCTTTTAAAATAGCTGGTAACATATGACCCATTTGTACTTCGGAAATTCCAGATGATTGATCGATAATTCCTAATATTGAAGTTGTGTAAAATGCATACAGAGTACTTAAAGAAGACGCTCGCTCTGAATATGTGTTAGTAGCGGTAATTACGTGATTGCAAATTAGTTTTAGTAAAGCATTATCAGAACTAAGACGATTGACTAATGTTATTGTAGCTAAGGGAACACCTGGCTTTTGAAGGGGTTCTAACCAGTGCCAGTTATCAGCATCATCAGATAGATTTAATAGTTGTAACGCTCTTGCAAACATCCGAGTTTCGTGATAAGGTAATATTAAAAGCAAAAATTGATCTCTATTAAATTCTTCTATGCGAAACCTACATATTAACCATTCAAGAGTTTTATGAGCATTATTGAGCAAGAAGTAAGGAGATAGAAGGATAAGAAACTTTTCAATCTGTCTATCTAACTTCTTGTTAACTTTAACATCTTGCACAGCACGTTCAAGATTCAGTGAACTTTGTGCAAAAAGAGTATGTTCAAATTCTAAAAATACGTCTGATAGCTTAGTCAACTCTTGCAATCCATTTTGACCTGGTGAAGAAATAAACATCAATTATTGCTTCAATTAAAAGTATGTAGAGGTAGAAACATAAAATAAAGTGTGTTACCTATGCTTAAAACTGTCTCTCTGTCTAAATTAGCAGCTTCTCTGGGATCAAATAACAAACTTGTATGTTTTTTATCTCGTTGCAGTATTGTTGTTTGAGGGGTTCTTAGTTGTTTTAATTGTCTCGCAAGAGATGTAGCCATCTTGAAACTGTAATTAAAATTATTTGTAATTCAAAACATAAAAAAGATATAGATATATAAAACATGCACATAACCTTATGCTGTACATAACCTCACCTTTCTTTTATTCGTTAGAAATAGATGGAGTCAAATCTTCCTTAATATAGTACAAAGGCTTTTTACAAATATCACAAAATATTTTCAGTATTTATGATATATTAAATTACCGAAATAAAGATATACATTTGTGAGTATGTGCATTTGGTATATATAATATTGTAAGTCGTAACCTAATCAACTAAAATGCGCATGCACAGGCAGATCTTTGAAGAACGTGGTCGCTACGAATTGTACGGTGTTATGCTTTTTTTCTCTTTTCACCAACGGTAGTACTACGCGTAAAAAAAAAACCTATCACAACATTGGGTTGTATACGATCCTTAGAATTTTATCATTCATTTGAATTAAAGGGATCTTTAAATATTGTATTAATCTCCGATATAAATTTTACGTTACTTTCTGTGCTCGGATTAAAAAGCTTCGATTAATATATACATATATATATATATACACATACATACTTCTGAATAAAACGGAAAAATAATTTTACGACGTTTACATAACGGTGTAAAATTTTCATTTCTTTAACGAAGAAAATGGAGGATTCCTTTGAAAATATTAATCCCAAATTATACAAAAAAATAGATGAAAGAGAAATTACTGCGGAAGATGAAGATGAAGATATTGTAGATGAATTTGATGCACGTGAAATTTTCGGTATGTATTTATTAATATCATAATGTTTTCTGAATTTTTATGTCGTATACAATTATTTTTTCTAACATACGATTTACAGATTTGATTAGAAACATCAATGATCCTGAACATCCTTTGACATTGGAAGAATTGAATGTGGTAGAACAAAGTCTCATCGAAGTAACACACAAACATGATATAAAAAGATTATAGTATACGTTATTAACCATATTATCAAAGAAAGTAATATGTTTTCTTTCAGATTGATAATAAAGCAAGCACAGTTCACGTAAAATTTACTCCAACGATACCACATTGCAGTATGGCAACATTAATTGGTTTATCAATTAGAGTACAATTACTGCGAGTTCTACCTTCAAGATTTAAAGTTAGTGTTGAAATTACACCAGGTACTCATATGTCAGAGGCAGCAGTAAATAAGCAATTAGCTGATAAAGAAAGAATAGCAGCAGCTCTTGAAAATAATCATCTACTTGAAGTGATTAATCAATGTATTGGTATAAAATGTTAATATTATCTAAAAAGTATGAAATTCAACATATATCATTTATAATTGTATATAATTTATTAGAGATATCTTATCATTATTTTCTAGTTTATTGACATAAATTTCAAATTATTACAATTAGATCTAATTAAATATGTAAAGAAATTTCATATACATAAAATCTCATTTTTTCATTGTTGTCATTGATGTTGCTGATGTTGCTTTTGATAAATTTTTTACTGGGTTGTATTTATATGTCATTGGGAGTGGACCTTTAGCTGCATTATTAAATTGTTTTACATCTGCACGTGCATAAGCTGCTAGCTTATTAGATAGTTTCATGTTAGTCCAAGCTGAAAAAAAAATTGTTCATGTAATAAATCTAAAACTGTATTATACTGTGAATATTTATTTGAAAGTACCATCAGAGAATGATTCCTTGAAGCCTTTGTCTCTCTTTATGTCTATATTTGTGGTCATCATAGGAGGGATATTAAAAAATGCTTTTACTTTCTCTAAATGCAGTAATTGATTTTCTATTATGGTTAGAATATTTGAAACAGCCCAATGACACAAAATGGCCTGAAACAAATTTTTTGTAATATTTACAATACAAAGTAAAGATAAATAAGAGCTATGTATCTTACCCCCGGAAACTTCACTGCAAATATAAATGAAATAACTGGTATTGCTTTGAACATATTTTGTATTATTGGAGCCAAATTTTTTGAATTCTTCAATGCATATGAAGTAACAGCATATAATGTTATAGTAGTACCCAGTGGCAACAGATAATATGGATCAGTACTACTTAAATCCGTAAACCACCACAATCCACCTTCCTTTAAACTTTCTACAGGTTTACTAGTCATTTCTCGTAGAGCAAAAAATATTGGTAGATGTGTTCCAATCTATTTAGTATATAGGAATAAATTTTAATATTTAAATTATCACAGATGTACTTAAGTACATAATATACCCATTCAATTGCATACCTTCAAAAGATTCGAAACAGGAAATATCTTAACATTATTTTTCCTCATCAGCTGTTGTAATTCAAAAGCATATACAGCAGCTAAAAGACAAAAATAAAATTTATTTGTTTAGATAAATATATACTAGTACATACTTTATAATATGCTGGATAAATATGTTAGTACACACCATCTTGTGAATTTCCACATCTTCTTGCGTCAGTCATATTTTCCTGTAACTTTATTATTTGTGACAGAATTCTGTTCATATTGCTAGTATTTTTCTGTACAGATATCGAAAGTGGAAATGTTGCAACTTTGATAAGTACTGAAGTTAGTACAATTGTTGCCCACCATGGTAGATTACAATTAATATGAACTAATTCATAAAATGTTTGAATAATTCCCACAGGGCCATATCCACCTAATCCTAAGCTTTCAAAGGTAGGTTCCCCATTTGCATGTAGTTTAATAACCTCTGTGATTTCAGTAGGCAATGGTATTTGTGGAAGAGGTGGATCTGTAAAAAATACAAAATATTATACAACTTCTAATTAACTTAAAAGTAAAAAATATATTACCTGGTATTTCACTTAATAGATCTTTCTCTGGTACTGAATTATTTAGGTCTGTTATTTGTGTTTGTGGCACAGGTGAATCTAAAAAACATGGTAGACTATATTTTTTATTATTACATAATATTTATTATACATTTTCAAAAACATATATAAAATTAGAGATTTTTCACACCTGGTGGCGTATTTGATGCATTTTCTTTTATTGTTGTATTAGCTGTGCTTTCATACCGAGCGAAATAAATCTTATGAATCCTCGAAAGTTTATGAACGTTTAATACACAATCCTGTTTCAAAGGACCGTTTGTTATATTATATGCGAGACCGCTAAAGTGATATTCTGTTGTTTTCTGAATATATACATATTTTCATCATTAAAATATTTTAATATATATATATAAGTGTGACATAACCTAACGAGAAACAAGAGTTTAACTTACGTGAAATCCTGTACTTGTATTTAACAGTTTTTTACTAACACGTACACATAATCGCGTCAACATGATTTTGTTTATATACTAGTAATATTTAATCTTATATTATGATAAGGTATTGTAAATTAAAGAGATTTTCATATCACGTGTAGTACTACAATCCACTATTAAGTTACAAGTTGTCACATTATACTTCAGATGGCATCCTGAGTTCAATTTGAGAATATGTTCAAATTTAAGTTACATTTGAGGTACTAATGAAATTTTTAAGTATATTCATAAGAATTTCCTATCGAGCTACTGTATATAAATATTTGCAAAATTTGAATTTTTAGCTTCCAAATACGAATATGCTTTTCAATATCGAAAATTTTCTAAGTCGCAAAATGTTCCAATTAATGAAACGAAGGAAAATATACAAATTCGAACAAACTTCCTTTTTGACGTATACCCGCAATTCTTCATAGTACTGATCCTGGTTCGAATTAATTGTAAAGTTGCATACAGTGGCGCCGTGTGCCGTTTTGATATCGGAGGATTCCCCTGGTTCTTTCACGAATTTGAGAGGCCAAGCTGCGCCATTGACACGACACTAGAATTAAGCTGTCAGTGCCGACTCACGTGATCGAATCTACTGCAATGACATTCAGTTTGCGTCTCGGGACCAAGGTTATTAAAGACAGACCTACTATTTAAGTTTCTCTCGTGCCGTCTTTCGTTTTCGGGACCTGCTTTCCCCCTTTTGCCTACCTTGATCCACGTAGCTGCTTTTGAACCAGGTTCTGCTACTCGTCACAGGGTCTGTTGGTTTAAGACGATAATACATAGCTGTGTGAGATTTCACGTGAACAAAAACAGATTAAAGAAAGAAGAAGAAAAAAATCGTGAAACGGAGAGGAATGGCAGAAGACGGCACGGTTCTAATTACAGATCCACATTGTCAGCGAAGGTCTCTAACCACCATGCTTTGGCACCGACTGTCAATTTCTCCACAAAATAATTCGGTAACAACTCCGCTTTTTCGATGGCGCAACTACCGCTTCGTTGTTATCTTTTCTTCCTTTTATGAATGCTTGCCGTAACGTTCAATTAGATTCGAGTCAAAGTATTTATCCGGTCAGGTTTCACCCCTGGAGCGATTTACGAAATTATTTTTGACATCGTTGTTATACAAAATTGAAATTATATTAACCACCTGGTGCTAGGATTTCTTGTTTTTTGTTATTGTAGATTAATGTCGTTGAACACATTTGCGAGTACATAGGATGAATTAAATAAAGTTTGTATTTTTTGACATTTTATAGTTATCTGAAGAACTAAAATTCATATCTACGAGAAAGTCATCACGTAACACCAACCGTTGTGACAAAATAACGAATCGAACCTTCGAAACCTCCCAAGAACCTGGTATTCGTCGCGTAGAGTGTAGAAGATTGAAGATCGCTTCTTCGACAGGATTACCCACTTTACGCCCGGGTAGCAGGTCAACCAGGGCGAAAGATAATGGGATTGAGCGTTCTTCGAAAAGAACAAGATAGTGAAGCTGTCACAGGAGAGGAATGACACCAAGTTCAGCCTTGTGTCAACGTCGTATCGGGATCCCTTTGATCGTGCCGATAAAACCTGGTTAGTACAGAATTTTCGTGAAGACGAACACCTAGTTAGACGAAGTCATTTTTGCTGAGAAAGCTGACCGTCCATTACGTATCAGTGTTCCATTAATTACAAATCGTAATAATTATTTTGGTTAGGATCTATAACCTTGTCTGAGATTATATTATGTGACGATTCATTTTGATCAATACAATGATCTGATTTGTAGTCCATAAGACTTCGTGTTTACGTAAGTTTAAATTTCTGAATGAGTTCTGTTCGTTTTCTGAAATGACTACGCACTTTATATAGTGGACAAAGGAAAGTGTAAAATTGATAATTGGACATATGAAAATTAACAACTTTTGTACTAGACTTTTTTAAGATATCATCCATTCTTTCATCTATATATTATATCTATTCATTGTCAATTATATCATAATTTCGTTTTATAAAATTATAGTGCTTTTCACGCCATTCATTTTTAATTTGCCAACGACTAAAGTATAGAATTAGAGCTAAAGGAATTAATGTGAAAAGCATATGGAAAAATATGTAATTCAGAGAAAATAAATTTTCATTCGTATGCTTTACAAAGAATCATTCAGATCCCTAAAAGTGTCATTATATATAAATCTATAAAATTTCTATGACGAATTATAAGTTGGTATTTTATATTATGTAATACGCGAAACAGATCTCTATTTAGATTGCGTTTCTTTATCTTTCTAAAAATATGAATCTGAATAAGCAACTGTACTCTACAAATAAACCTCAAAGATAGTGTGTATTCAAATAAAGGAAACAGACACGTGACATTGACAAATTTCCTTTAAGACAAACAAGCCTAATGGATTTTCCTTACACAATATCAATTTTGCACGAACACGTTCCTAACCGATCTCAGCCTGTAAGAAATAACCAAAGATAATGTGTAACCGATTAAACGGATCGATCGTGAATTCGAAGATCGAAATCATAGGTAATTAGATCATAAACATGACAGCCGATTTCGTAGAGGCGCGTCTCGATCACGCATCCTCGATGAGATTCTTGTCTATGACAAATTGCGCTCTGGGCGATCCATCGAGGCCTGATCGATTCGCTCGTTGCGATTCCATCGTGATATTAGCGGCGTGCGAGCGACACGTTCGCCAATTATCGCGAAATTTGCACGCTGCCACCGGCTGCCGTTTTTCTTCTCACGCGCGTGCGCATGAGCGTTGTTAATGACGAACCGACACGGCGGCTGTTGTAAATCAATTTTTAATTGCGATTCCGGTTCGATCAGCCACGTTGCGAAAGTGTTGTTAATATCGTGAATGAAATTTGGTGGGTAATGCATACTTGTGACGGGTAACGGTCCTTCGTTCGCTTTTAATAGTCATCTGTCGAGTTGTGTCTCGCACAGGGACGAGTTTAATGGTATAATGAAACGTTTAAGCTTGAAAATATTGTTGCAAATGAGAGGAATGCTTTTACCTTTACGTCTCTTCCTTTAGGAAATTATAACGTACAGGGTGTTTTATTTTAACCATTTAAAGATTAACGTTTCGTTAACCTCGCGATTTATTTGCTAACATTGATGATTTTCTGTAAAAAATTTTCCATTCGTATGTTTTTAACAAAATTAACGAAACGTGGAATCGATCATCGATTAGATACAATCTTGTAAATTTGAACAAAACAAACTTCATTTTTTAATCATACGTTGAACAACTCGATTAAATGAAAGTTTGGCTTTAATTGATACGTTGAACGAATTTATGCCAGCAACCTTTTACTTACTCATGAAAGCACGATGTTGTATAATACAATATGATGAAGTTTCGACAGAATTATTCCAGAATTATTAACCGAACAAAACAAAGAAAATATAATATCAAACTTCGTAAAACCGGTCGAGTTATAAGAAATCACCCTGCACACGTAATCAAACGAATTTCTATGAACGGTCTATTCATCGTCGCCAGTTTTTGAATGGCCGGCGTCTGGCGACGTCGAAGAATCGACGAAGGTGTGTTTCGGTGGTAAAGGAGATGGTCGTGTCCCGTCTCTCTCCTTTAGGCCACTTTTAAACGTCTTTATGAGTTTCGGCTGTTAACACGACTGTGGAAACAGGTACGGCCTTTTTTTCTTTTGATGCCTACTCTCCTAGTATCTGTGGGATCTCAGGTGGCTAGCGCCTGGTACGCATTCGTCAGGGAGAGATAAAGTCGTGATTGGACAGGAAGTACGGCACCGTGTCGGCGAAAGAGCTGACCACTGTATTTCTCTTCTTCTTTCAAAGATTATACCGGGACTGGTTCCCAGTTTGAATCGCTCGATAAAGGTCGTATTTACTGGTTTAGCTAGCCGAAAGTCAAAGTAAGATATTGTCTATCTCCTGTGACATCTATCGAGCGAAGGATTGATTCATCCTCTTTTTAATTCTTTATTTATTATACGCCACATTGCACTTGACACAAGTTATGAACTAACTAAAAGATTAATGTATTTGTTTTGCTTGATAAAATTCATCTTAAACTTTAGTGCGCTATGTTTTCGTCATGGAAATATCAGAAGATATATTTCCATGATTAATAATCAGTATCTATAAAAGAATAGATATAGCCTGGTGTATATTCCAAATGAACTTACTGAATGTACACACTTCGATATTTGAAGCATGAATCTTCATATGCTGAAGTGTAAGTCAAGCGAAAACGAAGTTTGCTTAACGAGATGTTATTTGGGCGCAGATGTGTCTAACGACTTCCTCGAAAGTCGAGGAGCCATCAGAATCGTTAGAATCAAAGATCGAGCGATTAAAGTTACACAAAAGGGGAACAATGGTCCACTTTTATCAAATCATATTAAAAGAAAAGAAGCAGAAAAAGAATAAGAAAATGGGAAGATAATGCTACGTTGTTCAGTAATAGGAGCAATCTGTTTGTTTCGTTCATGTATATCGGCGTCATCAGCCGCAATTTTTCCTGATCGTTGCCTGTTCTCTCGTTGCTTTCTTGTTCATGGGGCTCGCGTGTCGAGGTAATGGTATGTACAGAAGGATAATCTACTAGATAGTCGTCGTAGGTGCAGCATTGTGTGGGATCATAACGTGCAAAAGGAAATCGCCTCGCTTTAAGGTAAATGGTCGAGGAGGCAGAGCGACGTGCGTGCCCGGACGCGTGTGAACCACCACCGGTTTCCTTTCATTCACTAAGTTTCTTCATCGCGAATGTCGCACGATTGCTACGCCCGATTATCGTTGTGCGAGCATCATCTCCGTGGAAAAAAGGAATTCTTTCGCGGAACCGATCCATTCGTGGTTAACGGGACCGTGTCTGCAAATTTCTGCGCGAAACAAAAATTCGATACCTTTTATTCTACGTTTCTTATTGAGAGGATACGTTCCGGCTGCAGTTTTGATTAAGAAATTTGTTTATTTTTTGTAAGATCTTCTTGCGAAAATATTATGCCATCTACGAAATTTTAAGCAGAAAGAATTTTGATCTATTCTATCTTTTATTTTCATTGAGAGAATATACCTTCTCTAGATAACTGTGATTGGTTAAAATATTAGTTTATAGTTTTTTTGGTTAAAAATTTAGTTTATGTCTCAGAAGGATTTTTTATGAAATATTTTATGAGGACAGGGTTACAATTATTATTTAAAAAATAAATGTAGAAGTAGTGTTTCTAACATCAAGTGGCGCTCAATGGAGATTACAAATCGACTATTTTTATACGACATGAAATTCGAAACGCGACTAACGTGCGAAAGACCGGACGACTTGAAGCGGATTCTGCGATTAATCACAGAATCGGCATTGTCGGTGTGGGAGAAATTATTTTCGATTAGCTTTATGAGCGCGCCCCCGTTGTTGCGTTTTATTGTTTGCAAAGCGCGAAATGTAGTTCAGGAGATCGGCCGTGTGCCCGATTGAAACACGAACAATCACAATCTCGGAAATTCGTTGCGATTCGCTGCTTGTCTTTCACTCGCTCGTCGAATTTATCTTACGGTGTAACAATGTTTCGAGTCTGTGCAACGTTGCATCATATGAAAAAAGAAAAAAAAAAGAGAACAAAATCTCAAACGAATTTTCTCATCGCTTATTTGTTACGATCGAAGTGAAAACGATAAAACGCAAATAATTGAATAAAACGTGATCACGCAATTGGAAAGATGATGGAAAACAATGGGTTTAGCCAACATTTAAAATATCACGCATGATATGTAACAAATTGTATTAAAAATGTAGCATGTTCGTTTTGGTGAACGAAATTCGATGAAATGTGTTCCGAAGGGTCTTTAGTAAAAATTTAAATATCGGATGAATAGATAAAAGCAGTTAATCTCGAAATTATATCCAGCGGTGCATTCAACAGTCAACATTCAGATTCAATAATCGTAAAAAATCGCATTGACGATTTCATACCGCTCGTCCGTTCAGTTTCAGAATTATTTTCAATTCGACCACGATAATCTCTTTAATGGGAAAATATCTACTAAAAATGTTTTCCATATTTAAAAAAATACATTGTACACATACTTCAATGTGTTGTGAAATAGAATCTTTTTCAAGCTGATTCGAATCTTCTTCAAACTGGTGCAAAGTGACGGAACGATATTCCCCTAGAAAAATCCCTAGAATCTGACAGACAGTGGTAGAATACATAACTAGGGGTTCGCGTGACGGGTCCATTGAAATTCGCGCGCGTGAGACAATGGAGGTCGCGAATTGGCTCGCGAACACGCCACTTATCATAATGCTTACTTAATGCTCGTCGCGAGGACGTACTCTCGCGTGTAACCATCGCGTAGAGAAGCGCCCGTGGGACCAACCGGGCTTCCCTCTCGCGATTCGTCGACGAGGATGTGCGAGCGTATCGTGAACATTCCCACAAATTCGCAGTCTGGTCTGTTCGAATCGAGAGGGGAACGAAAAAATGTGAAAAAAAGGAAAAGAAAAATAAAATACAGAAAATAACGACGATAATACGAAGAGAGTCAGGATACGTTTGTTAGCTTTGCTGTTCGGCCGGAAAACGCCGTGGGATTCCGGGATCCGCCAAGGGGTGGTGACAGAGCGACTATCGTTATTTCCGCTTACGCGATGCTTCCTCTTTGATCAAATTAGTTGATGTTTCCTCATTTTTTTTGCGCTCCTTTGGTCGTTCGTTTTTACCGTACCTTGTTTGTTGCTTGTTAAACCTCGTCCGGATTAATCGAGTTACATACCTACTTGGATTTAAGCGATCTTGTTAAGGACAAAAGTTGTGTTATCATTAAAGAATTCTAACAAATTATATTTTATTTACATTTTTTTTTACATTATAATACATATGGCACGGATGAAGTAACAGATTTATAACAAAATAACTAAAAAATACAAGCAGTGAGAAGCATTTGATTTATACAAAATATTTGCAGGTATCA